AAGGTGTGTTCTATGGGCTAAGATGTGGTCTATTTTAGAGAATGACCCATGTGCAGCTGAGAAAAATGTATATTTTCTTTGGTCTTTTGAGAAAGGGTTTCACTATGTAGTTCAGGCTGGCTTTGAACTCACTTAGTAGCCCAGGCTGGCCAGGAACTTGCAGCAATCTTCCTGCCTCAGCCTCCTGAGTGCTGGGATTACTGGCGTGCATCACCACGCCCAGATGATGTGTGTAATTTTTTAAAAATTTGAAAAAAATATTTGTGAGGATGTGGAGAAATTGGAATCCTTTTGTATTGCTGGTGGGAATACAAAATGCACCAGCCACTGTAAAAAAAGTGACATTTTCTCACATTGTTAAAACACAGAATTACTATATGACCTAGCTATTCTATTCCTAGCTGTGCATCCAAAAATATTGAAAACAGGGACGCAAATAGGTATTTGTATGCCCCTGTTCGTGGAATTATTCATAGCCAAAAGGTAGGAACAGCCCGACTGTCCCTCAACAAAGGATTGGATAAACACAACTTGGTGTACACAGACAATGGGATATAAACATTAGCTATAGAAAGGAGTGCAGTTTGATAAATGCTTCTACACAAAGTTTGAAAACGTTGTGCTCAGTGAAGTAATACAGATATAGAAGGATAAATACTGTGTGACCCACTTACGTGAAGTACCCAGAGCAGTGAAATCCATAGAGACAGAAGGTGGGACACAGGTTGCTAGGGGGTCGGGAGGAGGAGAGGAGTAGGTGTTGTTTAAAGGTACAGCTTTTGGGAGAACGATGAAGTTTGAGTAGCGATAGTGATGGTTACATTATATTGTGAAGATATTAGGTATATTTCCACACACAGACACACAGACACACACAGACACACACACACACACACACACACACACACGTGCGTGCATACCTACCTGTCTACAGGCACACAAATGCCTCAAAAATTCACCACTGCTTTCATTAGAAGGCTTTTCAGTATTAGTGGGGAAAGTTTTTATATCTGGCTCATAGTAATGCAGTTTCTAAAATCTTATTTTTGCTTGAAAACTGAAAATTTATCATTGGGAACAAGTATTTAGTTGTTTTTATTGATGTTAAGGACTCATTTTCTTCATTTTCAAAGAAACATATGATAAATGATGAAGTCTAAATAACTATAGTTTGTTGGCTGGTCTTTCATTGTACTTTTTTTTTTCATTTGAGACAGGGTCTCCCTATGTAGTTCACACTGGCCTTGAACCGCTATGTAGCCTAGGCTGACCTTGAACTTGCAGCAATACTCCTGCCTCAGCCTCCCCAGGGCTGGGATTATAGGCATGCACCACCACACCTGACTCTCCATTGTACTTTAATATGTTACAAAGTGTTTTGTGTTTCTGTCTCACCCTGGAAATTGTGGTAAAAAAACACACAACCTAAAATCTACCATCTTTACTATCTCTAAATGCACAGCTCAGTGTATGTACATACTTGTTAAATAGATATCCAGAACATTTTTATCTTGCAAAACTGAAGATTCCATTCCACTGATAACACACACACACACACACACACACACACACACACACACAAAGATATGTACTCAAGGCTTAAGATGTCATAAAGTTTATTTTTCTGTTGTATAAAGAATACCTTCTTAGCTAGGCGTGGTGTCTTATTCCTGTAATCCCAGCACTCAGGAAGCTGAGGCAGGAGGATTGCTGTGAGTCTGAGGCCAGCCTGGGCTACAAAGTGAATTCAACGTCAGCCTCAAGTACATAGGAAAACCCTGTCTCAAAAACAAAAAAAAGAACATCTTTTTTTGTGAAGCACAATAAAGTTGTGCTGGCTTATGTTGGAGCTAGCATTTTTTTTTTCATGGAAATAGGGCAGCAAAAAAAGAATACAGTCACTATTAACCAAAAATGGGTGCTACTGCCTCAGTTCACATCAGCAGTTTTACATATCATTGCTTCTCCACCATCAGGACAAATTTCAACCCCTCAGAAAACACAAATAGTGTCTTGTGCTACGATGAAAATAGATTTAACGTTTCAGAAGGTTCTTGGGAATGCACTAAGGGTCTACAGACCACACTTTGAAAACTTGTGACTTAAATCAGTGTCTTAGCAAGATCATTTGGGGGCAGGACAGAAGCGGGATCTTGGGGGAAACAGGACAGCAGTAGCTTCCAGCGAGAGAGAGGAAGGCCTAGCTGTGAATAATGGAGTACAGATGGAAAGGAAAGGACATTTCAAAGTGGCATTATTCTTTATCAACTTCCGAGCGCATTTGTGTGTTGAACGTCCTCAGCACTTCCCATTGTCCATCTGTGTGCTATTAGTTGATTAGGAAATACTTTTTTCCCACTGCTCAGACACTCAATAATAAAAAACTTGGATTCTACACTTGCTTCTTGATACTTCAGTTTGAAGGCTTTCCCCTCCCCCTCTTCCAACAGCAGTTCAAATCCTTCGCCTTCAGAAGCTGCACCACTCGTGGGAAGCTGTGGGTGTGCTCCCCATCCGCTCCCCAAGTTCCAGCACCCTTCTCACGAGCTTTTGAAGGAAAATGGCTTTACCCAACAAGTGTATCACAAGTACCGTCAAAGATGTCTAAGTGGTAAGATACTTGTCTTTTCCTACCTGTATTTAAAATAAAAATATAATTCTAAAAATTCAAATTCTGTCTTTTAATATCCAGTTAAGATATTCTTTTATTAGCCAGGTGTGGTGGTGCATGCATGTAATCCCAGCATTTGGGAGGCTGAGGCAAGAGGATGACCATGAGTTCCAGGCCAGCCTGGGCTACATAGTGAGTTCAAGGCCAGCCTGCACTACAAAGTGAGACCATGTCTCAAAAAAAAAAAAGGATATTCTTTTATTTCGTTATAGTAGTAATTACCTTATTTATACATTTTTATTCATATTTTATACCTTAAACACATTTAGTACAATATATTCTTGTTATTGACAAATGTTTGTAATGTGAGCAGAGTGTCATCAGATGGATTAATATCTGTCCTCTAGAAGAAATCCAAATACATTTGGAGGATTAAGATGTCTCAGTTTTCATTTTAAGCTATATAAAATGACTGCTATCTTGACTTTTACTACTGCACTTAACTTTAAAATATTTTTAACTTTTCCAGAGAGAAAACGCTTAGGAATTGGACAGTCACAAGAAATGAATACTCTCTTTCGTTTCTGGTCCTTTTTCCTCAGAGATCACTTCAATAAAAAAATGTATGAGGAATTTAAACAACTTGCTTGGGAAGATGCAAAAGAAAATTACAGGTCAAATATCATATTTTTACATTTGGGAACAATTTTTAAAAATAATTTAAGAAACAAGTGCTAAAATAACCTACTTTTGTACTGTGAAAGTTCCACACCATATCTTGACTGAGGGCTATGTTCATTAGCTATTATTGCATAACAAATTACCCCAAAACTCAAAAAACTAAAACTAGAAACATGTTTTAGGGCAAAGACTCTAGGTAGTTCTGTCCTGTGGTCTCTTACGAGGTTGCAGGCAAGGTGTTGATGGGGCTTAGATTGACAAGAGTTAAATTGGGCCAGAAGGTGCTTTTCAGGCTATTTCTTAGTCTCTGGCCACAAAAGCCTCCCATAGAGTATTTTACAACATATGTGTTGGGAATTTGCCCCAGACTCACTTTGTTGGTGCAGATAATAAAGCACTTAGACACCAAGAAATCTTGACAAGGTTTTTACTTCTGGAGAAGGGCATGGGCACACACTAGCGTGAGGCAGCAGGCACGCAGCGAGGCCGCTGTAGCAGGCTCTTTTTATCCCTGACACTAACCTGGACAAACATTTTCCGTAATTCGGTGTGCCCATTGAGAGGAGGGGAGCGGCTTTGAGTCAGGATGGAGACACTTCTGTTCATGTTTGTGTTAGAAAAGACCTTGTTTCTTACACATGCATGACCCAGAGCAAGTGATCTAAGAAAGGACAGCTTCCAAGATGTCAAAACTCTGATAAGAATTGTATTTGTACCCTGTAAAAACAAAACATTTAATTTTCATCTGACATCTGTATAGATCAAGAACAGCAGATGCATGACAGTGGTACTTCCATTTCCTTCTCCTTGGCCCAGTACTGACATCTTTCATCAACCCCATCGCTGTTCTATGGTCGTTTTTATTGAACTTTTCAGAGTTACACTCTGACTATGGCTTTTGTGGCTTCTTCTAATTGACTTGAGTTGGCACAAAAATCAGAATTTACCATTCTTGATCTCAGTGTTGTTGTTCAGGCTGTGGTTTGTTGCCCATTAGTGAGTTGTGAAATCAACGTAAGGATTCTGTCTTGCTGTGGAAGATAGAGTAGAAAGTATCAGACTACACTGAATTTAGCTGCACAATTTATACATACTTACAAATTTGAGGATTGTTTTGTACAACATGTTATACACATGCGCATTTTTATAGGTGCATATATTGACTTAGTTACAAGGTAAGATATTTTTTCATATTATTAGATAGGTAGAAAAGTTTGAAAACTATTGTTTTGATATCAGTATACTTTGTTTACCTGTTTTGCAATTTCTTTTTGTTCCTTAGGACTTTCTAATAACTTCTCTTAGCTGTTTCCACCTAAGTATAGGTTGGAAATTCCTCCTTTTCACTGATGTGTCCACATAGTTCTTTGTAGATTTCTAATAGCTTTTTTAACACCATTTCTTACTTTTATGTCTGTTTCTATAATATTCCCCAGTAGACTATATTAGGTGCTTCTTCTGGAGAGGTATAGTTAAGTACCTCAAGGCTTTGAAGTCAGACCTTTGTTTGAATCTCAGTCCATTAATTTACCATGACTTGGATAGGTTATACTCCCACTGTTCTTTATAAAGCAGGAGAAATTGTGAGATACCTTCACAGTGTCATTGTGAGGGTGGAACAAAGCACGTAGCAGACCTAACACCTGAACTGACATATAGTAGTGCTCAAAATGATTAATATTAGGAAAGAAATCAGCACTAAATCTATCCACCAACTGAAAACAACAATAAGATGAACTCTGAAAATAGAGACCTAGTAGTTATTACATTTAATATACCAGTTCTGGTCTAGGAGTTTTACAAATATCTGTTCTTGAAAATAGAACATTATTGTCCCCATATTCAGGGGTATGATTATAAGTCTAGGATTCAAATATAGTTCTAATCCTGAGTGTTTTCCACTTCTTTTTTTTTTTTGTACCAAAAATCGAACTCAGGACCTTTCATTTGCTAGGCAGGCGCTGTGCTGCTGAGCTCTATCCCCGCCCTCCACTTCTTACAGGTAGTGAAAAATGAACACTGAGGGGACCAGTCATTTGCCTCTGCTCTTCACTCTAGCAGGACGCATGTTTGGGTTGTGTTAGTGATACCATGCTCTTGGTCTTTGAAATAATATATGAAGAGATAAAAGCAAAATTCCAAATATTGTTTATTCAATGCAAAATTGTATTGAATATTGATTGGCTTTTACCAGTAATCTAAGAAGTTTTTGATTCTTCAAAGACATTTAACTTGATAAAAAGAAAATTGAGAGAGAGACAGATAGATAGAGAGAAGAAAGAGACAAAAGAGAAGGAAAAGGAGGCAGATCTAGGCTTTCTCCCCAAAGAGTTTATTTCATTGGTTTGGATCAGCGCCTGGGGATGAGCTTTTCAAAATGCTGTCCAGAGGGGCTGGGGATTTAGCTCAGCGGCAAAGTGCCTGCCTGGCAAGCGCAAGGACGTGAGTTCGATTCCTGGTACCAGAAGAAAAGACAAAAACAAACAAACAAACAAAAATATCAAAATGCTGTCCAGGGGGCTGGGGATTTAGCTCAGCGGCAAAAGCGCCTGCCTGGCAAGCACAAGGTCGTGAGTTCGGTTCCCGGAACCAGAGAAAAACCAAAAAAAAAAAAAAAAAAAAAAAAAATTGCTGTCCAGGTAACTCTAATATGTAAGTGATGTCGGAAACGACTGATATCAGTATGATGTCATCAGGGCAGGTTCATAAGTCTGAGTTGGCATTCCCTGAGTCCTTAGTTCTCATAGCCTTCAGTAATAAAAGCTCAGTCAATAGCAGTACTTCAGGCTGCCAAAGCAAAGGGTTAGTACATAGGCATATATATTTTCTAAGAGGAAAAAAACAATAAAACAATGATATGGAATTTCAAAATAAGATAATAGGAAATTAACAGTGATTATTATATTGCATATTATCTTCAAAGTAGTTGCTCAGATTTCAAGATCTAGGCATGCAGAAGTGATCATACAATATAAGCACAAACCATTCTTTTCAATGCACTAATAGAAATTAATAGTATAATTATCTTATCTATCTTGTGTATCTATATATATATTTTTTTCTCTTCCTCTCTGCCCCATCCCAGTTGTTCTTTCCCTTTCAACATTTTCTATCTCTTTCACAATATCTATTGTATATTTTAGACCTTATTTATGCTTTCAGTTTTTTACACTAGGTAGATAATACGATGTTAACACATGTGAGTCAGATTTATTTCACTGATAAGTATGGTCTCAAGTTGCATCCATTTACCTATAAATGCCTCAAGTTTATCCTTTTTTATAGCTGAGTAGTACTGCATTGTATAAAAATACCACATCTTCTTTATCCATTCCTTGGTGGATGGGCATTTGACTTGTTTCCAAAATTTAGCTATTACAAATTGTGCTGCTATAAACATGGGTGCACATATATCACTGTGATATGATGTTTTCAATTCTTCTGGAAAAATACCCAGAAGGGGAATAGCTTGGTTGAATGGGACCCCTAATCCTAGTTTTTTAAAGGAATCTCCACACTGATTTCCACAGTGATTGTACTAATCTACAGTGTAGAAGGGTTCCTTTTTCCCCACAGCCCCACTAGCATTTGTTATTGCTTGATTTCTTGATGATAGCCATTCTTTCTGGGGTGAGATGGAATCTCAGTGTTGTTTCAATTTGCATCTCTTGAATAACTAATGATGTTGAACATTTTCTCATGTATTTATTTACCATTTGTATTTCTTCATCTAAGAAGTGTGTATTCATCGCAGATGACCATTTTTGGATTGGGTCTTTGGATTTAGGGGGTCTGATTTTTCCAATTCTTTATGTTTTCTAGATATAAGTCCTTTATCTGAGGTACTGTTGGCCAGAAGTTTTTCCTATTCTGTGGGTTATCTTTTCACTCTGTTGGTGATTTCTTTTGATGTGCAAAAACATTTTAATAAGATGAGATCCCAGTTGTTGATTCTTTGGAGTATTTCCTTTTTATTTATTTATTTATTTATTTATTTATTTATTTCCAGTACCAGGAATTGAACTCACGACCTCGCACTTGCCAGGCAGGCGCTGTGCCCCTGAGCTAAATCCCCACCCCCTGGAGTGTTTCCTATACAGTTTGGGTTTTGTTCATGAACTTTGTGCCTACTCCTATGTCTTCAAGATTTCTACCTACTTTCTCTTCCAGTAGATACAGTGTTTCTGTTTTAACATTTAAATCCTTCATCCATTTTGACTTTAGTGCATGGTGATAGACATGGATCTAGCTTTAGTCTTTAGCATGTAGATAGCCAGGTTTTCTAGCACCATTTATTAAAGAGCCTATGTTTCTTCCAGTGAATATGTTTGGCCCCTTTGTCAAAGATAAAGTGGCTGAATGTGTTTGTAGCTGTGTCTATATCATCTAATCTGTTCCACTGATACTCAGGTCTGTTTTTTTTTTTTTGCCAGTACCATTACTTATTTTACTTCTTTGTCTTTTTGAGACAAGGTCTCACTATGCAGTTCAGGCTGGCCTTGAACTCATTTTGTAGCCCAGGCTGGTCTTAAACTTGCAATGATCCTCCTGCATCCTGGTCTTAAACTTGCAATGATCCTCCTGTAATCCCCTTCTGGGATTACAGGCGTTTGCCACCATGCCTGGCTAGTACATAGGTATATAGATAGCAGTGCTGCATTTCTCTTAGTGGCTTGTCAAAAAACATGTTAATTCTTTTATACAGATAGTTACTCTCCATCAATAATAAACTATTTATAAAACACACACAATGCTGGGCGTGGTGGCACACATCTGTAATCCCAGCACTTGGGAAGCTGGGGCAGGAGGATCACTGTGAATTTGAGGCCAGCTTAGGCTACATAAGCGAGTTCAAGACCAGCATACACTACATAACAAGATCCTTTCTCAAAAAAAGAGAACAAACCCCACCAAATACACACACGTACCCACTTCCTGTGTACAATAGCCAGCCGGCAATAAAGAATTTGTAACCTATTCCACTGAGGCACTCAGGACTTAAGGATTCTGAGAAATTTTTTAACTGTGGCATGTTAGTTGGGTCAGCAAGACATGATTCTTTACTTCTGCCTTAATGGCCTTGTCCACTCCTGGGTTCTACTTATTACCATTAGTTAAAATTGAGCCCATATAACATTGATCGACTGTCTAGAACTTGTCTCAGGTTCTCTACATAGCTATAGAAGAAGCAAGAAAATTTGTTTTCAGATATATGTAGTGACTGTAGCTCTTACCAGAATATCCACAATTAAATATACTTTTTAACTAGGCAGAGGTTCTCTCTGAGGAGCCATTAAATTATGTCTGGAGATTATAGCTGAATGGGTTAATTACATCCAGTGTTCAAGGCATAAAAGTATGGTCTTCTTTCTCTAGAATGATTATATTCAAGAGTATTTACTATGATGGACAATGCACCATTATAAATTTTGGCTTTAGAAAAATTAAAACATTTCCAATGTCCCTATATCTTTTGATCATTTCTTCAGAAATTCTTGGGAGAGATACAGTGACTATCTAAACAAGCCAGACTCTTAACCAGCAAGGGCTGCCTCTAATCTGCAAATTCCTGGTATAGCTTCATTATGTACTATGGCTGATTAAAACAAAAGAGAGACAGAAAATGGTGGCAAAACCATCTTGTGTTATTAATTAGTACTTCAGTTAAAAACCTGTGTGCTACAAATTTATTTCTTGTTTCTTATTATTGTTTAGGAGTATTCATGTCATATTTGCTTATTGCTGCTATGATGTGTTTGCATAATATAGCAAAAAATTTATTATAATCTCTTTCTTTTCTGTGTATAGGTATGGGTTAGAATGTCTGTTCAGGTTTTACAGTTATGGACTGGAAAAAAAATTCAGACAAGAAATTTTTAAGGATTTCCAAGAAGAAACCAAAAAAGATTACGAATCTGGTAAAAACAAAAAATCTTATTCTGTTTGGAATTTGTAAACTTGACTTTATTGATAACTAGGGAAGGAGTTCATAGCATTTGTCTTTAGAGTGCATCCCTTAAGGCATTTATGCTTGGTGAACGATGGGATACCATATAGAAAAAAGGCCTTTCTTGCGAAGTGTGGGAAAATACCGCCCCTGAGTACTTCCCTTGTGGAGGTATATGCTGTCATTATCCTCTTAACAAACACGGCTACTCACCACTGCTCCTCACATGAAAGCCTGTGTGACCGTACTAGATGTGCTTGAAAAGGCAGACAACCACAGTGGGGTCTGGGTCCCATATCCAGTGCTTAGGGGCTCTGTGACCTTGGTGAGTTACTCAGTCTTGCCAGCTTCAGATTTCTCATTTGTTGTATATACAAAAGCACCCAGCTTTCAAGGTTATACATGGTTCAGATTGGTTTCCCACATAATAAAGCACTTAAGTAATACCTGTCATAAACAAGGAAGTGTTAGCTGCTATTTATGTTAATTCATTGCACATATTAGTCTCAAAATCAAGAGAAGGCATATTTAAAAATTTAGAGCTGGGTGTGGTGGTACACGCCTGTAATCCCAGCACTTGGGAGGCTGAGGCAGGAGGAAAGCCTGAATTACATGGTGAGATGCTGTCGCTAAAAAAAAAAGAAAAGCATATATTGAAAGATAAGTGGGTTATTGCTGGTTGAATCATGTTTGATATGAATCTCATTTTAAATTCCATATAATTTATAGTGTATATTCTTCTGTGATATTAGGTCAGCTGTACGGACTAGAAAAATTTTGGGCCTATCTGAAATATTCTCAATCTAAGACACATTCTGTTGACCCAAAGCTTCAGGAATACCTCTGTAGTTTTAAGAAGTTAGAAGACTTCCGCATTGATGTAAGTGTTAAGTTGTTTTCTTAATTTAAAAAAAAAAAAAGTGAGAAAAAAGGAAAAAATAGAAACAAAGCTTTTGTAATTGAGGAGTGAAGGGAAGGGGTGAAGGGAGGGGAGGGGGATGGGAGAAAAAAAATCAAGTTTTATGCCATGTACCGGTGCAAATTCCCTATGATAAATGTGATTATTATGTGTATCTAAAATGTACCAATAAAATCTGATTTAAAAAAAAATGCAACACACTGAAATTCTATTTCACTTATAACTCACTGCACATATTTTCCTTCCTGAAAATTAGATATTATTAAAAGAAAATGACTTTCTAAAACAAAGTTCTTTATTCATTTTATTGCCCGTATATTTCTGTCACTTCTTAGTAACTTAGTTTTGGTTTTTGTTTTTTGAGACAAGATCTCCCTATGTAGTTCATGATGACCTTGATTTCACTATGTACCCCAGGCGAGCCTCAAACTTGGCGGTTGGTGATCCTCCTGCTTCAGCCTCCTGAGTGCTGGGATTATAGGTGTGCACCACACTTAGCTTCTTCTCAATGGCTTTCTTAATTTTATAATTTTTGCTTTTAATTTTTAAATATGAAAATTTAACTTTTCAGTTTTAAAATCAAATTTTGAAACAGGCCCAAAAATAGCTGAGTAAATTGTCATATATTCTTCAGTTAGATTTTCCAATGTGGACATTTTATGTAACCACAGTGCAACTGTCAGTCACTTTAATTTTGCTACTCTAGGGGCCGGGGATTTAGCTCAGCGGCAAAAGCGTTTGCCTGGCAAGCGCAAGGTCGTGAGTTCGGTTCCCGGTACCAGAGAAAAACCAAAAAAAAAAAAAAAAAAATTTTGCTACTCTAGTTGAGCAATTTTTACATTTAGTAATTTTTTTTTGAGACAGGATTTCACGATGTAGTTCCAGCTGGCCTTGAATTCACTGTGTAGCCTGGGTTGGCCTTGAACTTGTGCCGATTCTCCTGCCTCAGCCTCCTGAGTGCTGGGCTTGTAGGCACGTGCCATCATACCTAGCTCCTTTTTACTTTTTAAATGTACTTTAATACACACAATTTTTGTAACATGCCTATGTGGATTTCAAGTTCCTTCATAATAAAGTTAAGGCACAAATGTCATTTACATGTGTGCAGGCGGAGAAATAAACTTCAATGAATTTGATTTAAAGTGATAAAGGAAAAATTAAAAAGAAAATGGAATGAATGTAAGGAAAATCAGGGCAAAAGAAGAAAAAGAAACAATGAGAAATAAAGCATAAAGAAAAACTAGAAAGTTTTCTGTCTTCAAAAGAAAAGAGGCTGGGGATATAGCTCAGTGGCACAAAGCCTGCCTGGCAAGCACAAGGTCCAGAGTTCAAGTCCCAGTACAAAAAAGGAAAGAGAAAGAAAGAAAGAAAGAAAGAAAGAAAGAAAGAAAGAAAGAAAGAAAGAAAGAAAGAAAG